TGGTTGTGGGCAGAGCCCTGCATGACCACGGCTGCAAACACGAACAGTGAGGGCGTGGTGCCCCAAAGACCCCAATACCACCCCAAAACTACAGAAAATCACCCCAAAACCCCACAGAATCACCTCAAAACCCCACAGAATCACCCCAAAGCCCACCTGGTTGCGGGCAGAGCCCTGTATGACCACGGCTGCAAACACGAACAGCGAGGGCACCGTACCCCAAAAATGCCAACACCAATCCTCGGACCCCAATACCATCCAAAACCACCCCAATAACTTCCAAAACCCCACAAAATGACCCAAAACTATCCCAAAATAAACCCAAAGCCCCACCTGGTTGAGGGCAGAGCCCTGCATGACCACGGCCGGGCGCACGGAAAGCGGCGGCACAGGCAGCACGGTGCCCCAGACACCCCAAAACCCCTCCAATCACCCCAAAACCTCACAGAATCACCCCAAAACCCCAGAGAATCACCCCAAAACCCCACAGGACCCCACCTGGTTGCGGGCAGAGCCCTGCATGACCACGGCCGGGCGCACGGACAGGGGTGGCACGGGCAGCACGGTGCCCCAGACACCCCAAAACCACCCCAATCACCCTAAAACACAACCCAAACCACCCCAAAACCCCACAGATTCACCACAAAACCCTACAGAATCACCCCAAAACCCCAGAAAATAAACCCAAAGCCCCACCTGGTTGAGGGCAGAGCCCTGCATGACGACGGCCGGGGGCAGGCCGGGCAGCTCGTTGTCCACCATGGTGGCCACGTGGAACTGCAGCAGCTCAACATCCATGGCCATGACTTAGGGCCACCACCTGAACGTTCCTGACCTTGTGACACCCCAAAACCCTTCTGTGTCACCCCAAAAGCCCTCAGTGACCCCTGCTGTACCCGGGGCAGGCCGGGCAGCTCGTTGTCCACCATGGTGGCCACGTGGAACTGCAGCAGCTCAACATCCATGGCCATGACTTAGGGCCACCACCTGAACGTTCCTGACCTTGTGACACCCCAAAACCCTTCTGTGTCACCCCAAAAGCCCTCAGTGACCCCTGCTGTACCCGGGGCAGGCCGGGCAGCTCGTTGTCCACCATGGTGGCCACGTGGAACTGCAGCCGCTCAACATCCATGGCCATGACTTAGGGCCACCACCTGAACGTTCCTGACCTTGTGACACCCCAAAACCCTTCTGTGTCACCCCAAAAGCCCTCAGTGACCCCTGCTGTACCCGGGGCAGGCCGGGCAGCTCGTTGTCCACCATGGTGGCCACGTGGAACTGCAGCAGCTCAACATCCATGGCCATGACTTAGGGCCACCACCTGAACGTTCCTGACCTTGTGACACCCCAAAACCCTTCTGTGTCACCCCAAAAGCCCTCAGTGACCCCTGCTGTACCCGGGGCAGGCCGGGCAGCTCGTTGTCCACCATGGTGGCCACGTGGAACTGCAGCAGCTTGACGTCCTCAGCGATGACGTGCGCGGCCGCCCCGTTCTGCTCGTTGCGCCGCAGTTGGTTGTTGATCTTGACGATGTCGGCCAGTTTGTGGGTCAGGTCATCCTGGGGACACCCCAAAATTAGTGGGGTGACCCCAATATTTATTAATGGGGGGGCTGGTGTTGATAGAGGGAGGGGGGAAAACCCAAAGGGTTGTGGGGAAAGTCTAGGGTGGATTTGGGGTGGGAAAAAAATGGGGATACCCCAAAGAATGGGGAGCCCAAAATGTGGGGAGACCCCAAAAGGCATCAGGGACCCCAATACCCACCCAGAGACCCCCCAAGAGCTGCCCCAAACCCCACCTGGTTGTGGGCAGAGCCCTGCATGACCACGGCTGCAAACACGAACAGTGAGGGCGTGGTGCCCCAAAGACCCCAATACCACCCCAAAACTACAGAAAATCACCCCAAAACCCCACAGAATCACCTCAAAACCCCACAGAATCACCCCAAAGCCCACCTGGTTGCGGGCAGAGCCCTGTATGACCACGGCTGCAAACACGAACAGCGAGGGCACCGTACCCCAAAAATGCCAACACCAATCCTCGGACCCCAATACCATCCAAAACCACCCCAATAACTTCCAAAACCCCACAAAATGACCCAAAACTATCCCAAAATAAACCCAAAGCCCCACCTGGTTGAGGGCAGAGCCCTGCATGACCACGGCCGGGCGCACGGAAAGCGGCGGCACAGGCAGCACGGTGCCCCAGACACCCCAAAACCCCTCCAATCACCCCAAAACCTCACAGAATCACCCCAAAACCCCAGAGAATCACCCCAAAACCCCACAGGACCCCACCTGGTTGCGGGCAGAGCCCTGCATGACCACGGCCGGGCGCACGGACAGGGGTGGCACGGGCAGCACGGTGCCCCAGACACCCCAAAACCACCCCAATCACCCTAAAACACAACCCAAACCACCCCAAAACCCCACAGATTCACCACAAAACCCTACAGAATCACCCCAAAACCCCACCCCACCTGGTTGCGGGCAGAGCCCTGCATGACCACGGCCGGGCGCACGGACAGGGGTGGCACGGGCAGCACGGTGCCCCAGACACCCCAAAACCACCCCAATCACCCTAAAACACAACCCAAACCACCCCAAAACCCCACAGATTCACCACAAAACCCTACAGAATCACCCCAAAACCCCAGAAAATAAACCCAAAGCCCCACCTGGTTGAGGGCAGAGCCCTGCATGACGACGGCCGGGCGCACGGAAAGCGGCGGCACGGGCAGCACGGTGCCCCAGACACCCCAAAACCCCTCCAATCACCCCAAACACCCCCAAAACCACCACAAAACCCTACAGAATCACCCCAAAACCCCCCAAAGCCCCGCCTGGTTGCGGGCAGAGCCCTGCATGACCACGGCCGGGCGCACGGACAGCGGCGGCACGGGCAGCACGGTGCACACCATCCACTCGGGCCGGGCGAATTTGGGGTCCATGCCCAGCACGAAGCACTCCTCGTCCGAGATGCGCTTGAAGATCTCGTGCACGCGCTCGGGGCTCAGCAGGATCTTCTACCCGGGGCAGGCCGGGCAGCTCGTTGTCCACCATGGTGGCCACGTGGAACTGCAGCAGCTTGACGTCCTCAGCGATGACGTGCGCGGCCGCCCCGTTCTGCTCGTTGCGCCGCAGTTGGTTGTTGATCTTGACGATGTCGGCCAGTTTGTGGGTCAGGTCATCCTGGGGACACCCCAAAATTAGTGGGGTGACCCCAATATTTATTAATGGGGGGGCTGGTGTTGATAGAGGGAGGGGGGAAAACCCAAAGGGTTGTGGGGAAAGTCTAGGGTGGATTTGGGGTGGGAAAAAAATGGGGATACCCCAAAGAATGGGGAGCCCAAAATGTGGGGAGACCCCAAAAGGCATCAGGGACCCCAATACCCACCCAGAGACCCCCCAAGAGCTGCCCCAAACCCCACCTGGTTGTGGGCAGAGCCCTGCATGACCACGGCTGCAAACACGAACAGTGAGGGCGTGGTGCCCCAAAGACCCCAATACCACCCCAAAACTACAGAAAATCACCCCAAAACCCCACAGAATCACCTCAAAACCCCACAGAATCACCCCAAAGCCCACCTGGTTGCGGGCAGAGCCCTGCATGACCACGGCCGGGCGCACGGACAGGGGTGGCACGGGCAGCACGGTGCCCCAGACACCCCAAAACCACCCCAATCACCCTAAAACACAACCCAAACCACCCCAAAACCCCACAGATTCACCACAAAACCCTACAGAATCACCCCAAAACCCCAGAAAATAAACCCAAAGCCCCACCTGGTTGAGGGCAGAGCCCTGCATGACGACGGCCGGGCGCACGGAAAGCGGCGGCACGGGCAGCACGGTGCCCCAGACACCCCAAAACCCCTCCAATCACCCCAAACACCCCCAAAACCACCACAAAACCCTACAGAATCACCCCAAAACCCCACAAAGCCCCACCTGGTTGCGGGCAGAGCCCTGCATGACCACGGCCGGGCGCACGGACAGCGGCGGCACGGGCAGCACGGTGCACACCATCCACTCGGGCCGGGCGAATTTGGGGTCCATGCCCAGCACGAAGCACTCCTCGTCCGAGATGCGCTTGAAGATCTCGTGCACGCGCTCGGGGCTCAGCAGGATCTTCTTCTCCTGGGAATCCTCGTTGACGTGCTTCCACTCGGCGTAGAGCTCCAGCCCCGAGCGGCGGATGCGCGGCTGGTAGCGCCCGCAGCCGCCGTGGCCCTGGAACGGGGGAAAAAGGGGGAAAATGGGGTTAAAAATGGGGTTATTGGGGTGAAAAACGGGGTTATTGGGGGGAAAAACGGGGTTATTGGGGTGAAAAATGGGAATTATTGGGACTAGCAACAGGGGCTGGTAGAGCCCGCAGCCGCCGTGGCCCTAAAACGGGGGAAAATGGGGGAAAAGGGGGTGAAAAATGGGGTTATTGGGGTGAAAAATGGGAATTATTTGGGTTTCTGGGGGCTAATAATGGGCTGGTAGCGCCCGCAGCCGCCGTGGCCCTAAAATGGGGGGAAATTGGGTGAAAATGGGGTTATTTAGGCTAAAAATGGGAAGAAAGGGGTGAAAAATGAGATTATTTGGGTCAAAAAGAGGAATTAGTACTGAGAAAAATGGGAATTATTGGGCTGGCAACAGGGATTGGTGCTGCCCACAGCCACTGTGACCTTGAAACAGGGAAAAGGGCAAAAATGGGCCACAAACAGAAGTTTTGGGGCTACAAATGAGGATTTTGTGCCACAAATGAGAATTTTGGGGCCACAAACGGGAATTTTGGGGCCACAAACGGGAATTCTGGGGCCACAAACGGGAATTTTGGGGCCACAAATGAGGACTTTGGGGCCACAAATGAGGACTTTGGGGCCACAAATGAGGATTTTGGGGCGCCCACCTTCTCCTTGGTGAGGTCCTCGTCGCCCTCGGGCTGCTCCACCCCGAACTTGTGGTCCATCTCCTCGCCCCCCTCGCAGATGTTCTTGCCCTTGCACAGGTCGTAGACGTGGGTCAGCCTCTTCTTGGGCTGCCCCTTGGACTTGCCCAGGATGTCCTTGATCTTGGGGTTGTTCTGCCCAAAAAACCACAGGTTTGGGGTCAGAAAACGCCATTTTGGGGTCAGAAAATGCCTTTTTGGGGTCAGAAAATGCCTTTTTGGGGTCAGAAAATGCCATTTTGGGATCATGTTGTAGTTTTGGGGTCAGAAAAGGTGATTTTGGGTGTCTGGTGTTGTCCCACTGCGGTCCCTCAGCATCTCCAGAGCTTCCAGGACCTCCCAGCAGGTGACACCTCTGTGTCTCCCAACTCTAGTTGTCACCTCTTGATGTGTCCCTCAACTTTGTCACCTATTCTTGGTGTCCCCAAATTTTGTTGCCTCTTCTTGGTGTCCTTCAACTTTGTCACTTCTTGGTGTTCCCCAAATTTTGACACCTCCCCTTGGGGTACCCCAAATTTTACCACCTCTTCTTGGTGTCCCCACATTTGTCACCTCTTCTTGGTGTCCCCAAATTTTGTCACCTTTTCTTGGTGTCCTCCACATTTGTCACCTTTTCTTGGTGTCCCTCAACTTTGTCACCTCTTCTTGGTGTCCCCAAATTTTGT